CCCTGCATCTCGGACCCAGATGCTGCCCTGGGCCCGCGCCAGCCGTCAGAGGGCAGCGGCAGGGCGCGGGCCGCACGTGGCCGTGTGACCGTGGGATTGCATGTTTGTCCCCTTGCTCAGGGCGGCGTGCCTGCGATGGAGCGCGCGGCGGAGCCCTGGGGTCCAGATCTCCATGGCCGGGAGGAAAGGGAGCAGCTGAGAGGCGCCCGAACAGGTGAGGGCCGCGGCGGCGCGCCGCCATGTATAGGTAATAGCTAGGTCGAGGACTGCGATGCTGGGCTCTGCCTGGCCAAGACCCAGAAAAATCGGTAATGAACTGTGCTTCCAGGGAGACAGGGGGAGGGGGAGCAAAAACAGAGGGGGGACTCAGTATTTCTCTGCACCTGTGCGCCAGGCCAGGCGGGGAATCCTCTCAAGGACTGTCCCCGTCCCCAGCAGTCCTCACGCCCTCACTGCCTCTGCCCTACTTCGGGCCCCATTCTGCCTCATCAGGCAGCTGCAACAGCCTCCCCTCAGCCCTCTTCTCTCCAGTGATGCACTCTGCACCCACAGTGATCTAAGTCTAGATCGAATCCGGTCTCCCTTCTCCAGAACCTTCCCTAGCTCGTTTCTGCCTACTAATTAATAGTCTTAGCCTAGTGTTCAATTTAGCCCTAGTCCCAACGTCCCTTTCCAGCTTTATGCCCCAGTCCTCTCCATGGTTTCCTTTTTTCTCACTGTGAAAGCCCATTCCTGGCTCCTTATTCTCCCCCCTGGGACAGCACAGTTATTCTGAGCCCACAAGTATAATTATTTTTGCTTTTCCTTCTCTCTCCTACCAACCCTAAGCATCTTAAGGGGTAGGTTCGTGTCTGGGGCCTCTCAGGTAAACATAGATGGCTGAAGTAATAAATTACAGAATGAGCTAATATAAAAAGACATAATTGAAATAGCAAATACCAGTTTTTTCAAACAGAGACAGTATAACACAGGCTTGGGGATCAGACAGACCTGAGTTAGAAACCTGGCTTTGCTACTTGCTAACCTTTATAACCTTGAGCAAGTGACTTAAATTCTCTGAGTCTCCAAATGCATAGTAATAATATTACCTCACAGGATAGTTTCCAAGTGTTCAGTAATGCTTAGTTTAGTGATTGGCACATATTAAAGGCACATATAAAAGGAAATTACTATTATTATTTTTTTAATATATTTTTATTGATTTCAGAGAGAGGAAGGGAGAGAGATAAACATCAATGGTGAGAGAGTCATTGATTGGCTCCCTCCTGCACGCCCCCTACTGGGGGTCAATCCGGCAACCTGGGCATGTGCCNAAACATCAATAGTGAGAGAGTCATTGATTGGCTCCCTCCTGCACGCCCCCTACTGGGGGTCAATCCGGCAACCTGGGCATGTGCCCTGACCAGGAATTGAACCGAGATCTTCTGGATCATAGGTCGATGCTCAACCGCTGAGCCATGCCGGCCAGGCAGGAAATTACTATTATTAATGAGAGGCACAGATAATAGTAAGTTCTTTAGAAGTTCAGAGGAGAGAGAGAGAGCCTTGTGACCACAGGTTGTCAAGCAAACCTTTCTGGGGCTGAGCCAAAGGGCAGGTCTATAACTCCCTTTTCTTTCCCCAGGTCTGGGAGGTGAGAATGTGGAGATGTCTCAGACAGATGAGTTTGAACATACCCCACAGGAGGATGACTTGGGGTTCAAGGAAGAGGAAGATTTGGCCCCAGGTCATGAAGTAGGAAATGCCTCTCTCAAACCTGAAGGTATCCAGACTTGGGATGACTTGTGGGTCCAGAGAGAGGGACCAGGAAAACCTCAGGCTCGAGACAGAGGCCCCCGGCTCCTGGGAGAGCCACGTTGGGGCCAGGCTAGTGATCGGGCTGCTGTATGTGGCGAGTGTGGCAAGAGCTTTCGACAGATGTCAGATCTGGTAAAACACCAGCGGACACACACAGGGGAGAAACCCTACAAATGCGGGGTCTGTGGCAAGGGCTTTGGGGATAGCTCTGCCCGTATCAAACACCAGCGAACTCACAGTGGTGAAAAGCCTTACAGAGCCAGACCACCAGCCCAGGGCCCTCCAAAGATTCCTAGGTCCAGGATCCCTGCTGGTGAGCGCCCCACTATCTGTGGTGAATGTGGCAAGAGCTTCCGGCAGAGTTCAGACTTGGTGAAACACCAGCGGACACACACCGGTGAGAAACCCTACAAGTGTGGCATCTGTGGCAAGGGTTTTGGTGACAGTTCTGCTCGCATAAAGCACCAGCGAACACACCGTGGGGAGCAGCCCCCCCGGCCTATGGTGCCCCGGCGGCAGCCATCTCGAGCAGCCACAGCAGCCGCACAAGGACCCAAGGCCCAGGACAAGCCATATATCTGCACCGATTGTGGCAAAAGATTTGTGCTCAGCTGCAGCCTTCTGAGCCACCAGCGTAGTCACCTGGGGCCCAAGCCTTTTGGCTGTGATGTGTGTGGAAAGGAATTTGCCCGGGGCTCAGACCTGGTTAAGCACCTTCGGGTGCACACGGGAGAGAAGCCCTACCTCTGTCCTGAGTGTGGCAAGGGCTTCGCTGACAGCTCTGCCAGAGTCAAGCACCTCCGCACCCACAGTGGCGAGAGGCCTCATGCCTGCCCAGAATGTGACTGCACCTTCAGCCTCAGCTCCACCCTTCTCCGCCACCGCCTGACTCACATGGAGCCCCAGGACTTCAGCTTCCCTGGCTACCCCCTGGCTCCCCTGAT